TATATATATATATATATAAAAGAGCGGTTAACTCCGATACCCTGCGACCGATCTCCATTAAAGTTGGCTCATGAACGTGTTGAGGTGTGAAGGTGAAGACGCTGTAGAGCAAACTAAATATTTGTCAAATGTAACCCGCAACACTCGGTAGATTTTTTTATATTATATCGTTAATAGATCTTATACGATGCGGTCTCGAGTATTAAAAACTAAAAATTTCAGGTCAAAGGTTTAAAAGAAACGTTAATTACACCGTAATGTACAGTATAAGATCTTCTTGAACATTGTATTACATTTTTACTGTATCGGCGCTTCTCGATACTACCCCCGCTTGCGTTTAGAATATGCAACACAATGTGAATAAGAGGAACAGAGAGAGACAATCACAGAGACAGACAGACTTAGGCATGGACGAAGAGAGAGGGGGAGACGGTGAGAGAGAGAAAGGGTTTGGGAAGGACAATGAGGGAGATGAAGGGCAGAACGTCTGCCGGGTTTCGCTAGTTTACAATAATTCTATAAGTATGGACATGAACAATGATACCTTGCAACCAAAAAAGTGCTTTTCTTGTTATTTTACGATAGTTAATGACAAATTTAGAGCATTTTATAAAGATAAACAAACGGAACAACATAGCCATTTCAAAGTAACCAGCTCTTGCCGGACCCTGTTCAAGGTGGAAACATGTCTTGGAAAATTTCTTTGGTATTTGAAGTTATATGGCATTTAATACACCGTAATGTGGAACCTGTCCAACGGGAAACGTTTTTCATTTGCAAGAGAGAGAAAACCTGTAATGCAATTGGGAGAATTGCTGTGATGAGACATTCTAATTGGTAGTATCTGCAGATCGATTAGTTCTGTTCCTATGAAATGAGATTTCATCGGGCATGCGCACAACTAAGGGTTGGAATTCTTTGGTATTTGAAGTTATATGGCATTTAATACACCGTAATGTGGGACCTGTCCAACGGGAAACTAAACGTTTTTCATTCTGCAAGAGAGAGAAAACCTGTAATGCAATTGGGAGAATTGCTATGATGAGACATTCTAAGTGGTAGTATCTGCAGGTCGATTAGTTCTATCCCTATGAGACGCGATTTCATCGGGCAAACGCACAACTAAGGGTTGGAATATAACGCTAGGATATTTAAAAATAATATTTTTTGTTAAAAACATTCTCCCCAGGTTTCCCATTCCTCTTGGTCCCAATAGTGTATACAAAGTGTCAAACCTCTTGGTTATCATGAAAGTTCGCATGTACGGCTTGCAAATTAAGATGGTCAATGTGATTAAAGGCACGTGCGCAAAAAGCGTTTTGAGAAAAAAATGTAAAAGATTTTTTGTGAACCATATATAGTCCTCGATTTTTTATAGCCTGATAATAGTAACTGAAATATAAAAAATAGTTATTCAATACAAGTTATACTCATTAAAAAGGAAGGGTCTACTCTTTCTGTGCTTAAAAAGAATAATTTTTATGCTAGTGGTTTTGTGCGTTTTTACGCAGAACAACTTTTAAGTAAGAGAATGGAGTATAAACACAAAATATATTGGACGAAGTCTTTATTACAGTATCTAAAAGCTTATAGAAACGTGTCAAGGATTCGTGCCATGAACGAAACAAGCTTAGACTTTTTGTTTGCAACAATCTTTTTAACATCACTAAGGAAAATATCCCTTTTAATCTTGCTTTGTAACATTTACTTTTCAATGCCTACAAGAACAACATATTAACGTAAGATTTTCTTGAAGTGAACATCCTTTACGGCCAGAAATTGGTGTAAATTTTGTTACATAAACAACTTTCTTCTGATCTCCACCCGGGTGGGGAGACTTTTCAGTAGCAACTATGTCAAAACCTTGTACACCGTGTTTCCGAACTATTATTTCCGATTCTGTTCATTCAACGACCAGTCTCTTTGTCGATAACCGCATACTATTGCGACAAGTTCAGGAGTCTCGAAATCAGATTTTGTAAAATTCTCAGTTAAATAATGAAATGAGCGGAAGAAAATGAAAGGAAAATTAATCCTAAGAAATGCAAAGCGGCAACTTTCAGTAGGAAACGTGAGGTATAAAATATATTAAATGTCATTGTTAAAATTAATATTACTTTCCTTTTGGATGCTCGGTATAGTCTCTAATAGCATAGAAACAGTTGTGCAGCAGAAAAGATTTTACTTGGGACTTAAACTTTTGTATCGAATTTAATCGTTAAATGTCATCTGGTAAGGTGTTGTAAAATGTACATGTATTATATGTGCATTTTTTTGTAGTGAGATGTTGATACTGTCACCTGATGAATGATTACTACGTCGAGTGTTGTAGTTGTAGACAACGGCGTTTGCTGAAAATATATTCCCGACCTTAAGTCATTTTTGACTAAAACTACTGATTCATATAATAAGAGACAAGGTAATGGTAAAATACATAGGCTTAGAAGAATCACGTGGGTGCGATTTACTTATTATTTACAATTCGTTTTTGAAATCTAAAAGTCTGGGAACTATAAGATGTATTTCCCCAGAATATTATGCCATATCTCAGGTGGGAATGAAATTCGCTGGAAATGTGTAGGCTGACTGAATTTGAAGCGTAGCATAAATATCTTAATTTAGCATTCAAAATGGACGTTCCATTTAAGGTTGACTGAATTGAAAGACATATTTTTTTTTACTTTAACATCAGTCAATGGCACACCGTTCATTTTCAATGAAGTGCAGAGCTGTTTATTTCAAATGGAAAACTGCATTGAAACAGTTTTATTTTCATTTACTATTAATTTGGTATTACGGAACCAATTTGAAATATCTGCTATTGTACTATTTACGGTTTCTTTATTGCAAAGAATATTCGTATCATCCGCAAAGAGAACTATTCTTCCGTTTCTAATCGTCGAGGGCATTTTGTTTACGTACAGTAGGAAGAGAATAGGACCTAAAATCAATCCCTGCGGGACTCCACATTCAATTGGCAAAGAATGAGAAGGGTGTGTACATAATGTTCCGTTATTCCAAGAAGGTATTTGTACTCTCTGAGATCGTTGTTTAAGGTACGAACATAACCAATCTGGAGCAACACCACGAATTCTATACGAAGGTAATTTTGAGAGTAAAATGTTATGATCAATAACGACAAAGGCTTTTGAAAGATCTAAAAATATTTAAATATGTGCTTTGTTCAGTTGAGAGTGGCTGGTATTTTCTTTTCTGCGATTGTTGACAGCAGATTATGATCTACTGGGACTGCGATATGTATTATCACTATCCTGCGAGTAGGTTCGTCGAACACGACAATATCAGGCTTATTTGCTTCCATTGTTTTATCTGTAACAATGGCAGAAACCCGCAAGATTTTTGTTCTCTCATTAGACGGAACTTGCTCCGGTAGATATTTGTAATAAGGCAAACCCATCTTCTGGCAATAGTTTGAAGGATGATTTTGGCCACATTATTATGACGGAAATCTGTTTGTGCCAACTGAGAACATCCACTGCAGATGTGTTGAATAGTTTCGCTGGCCTTCTTACACAGGCTACACTTGTCACTGATACTTTCATGATATATCGCCTGAATTTATTAGTGGTTACTACTTGATCTTGAATTGGCCAGCACAAATTCTTGCGTCTCGCTAAGAAGCCCAGCGGTTCTAACCATTCAGTCGATCTCTTCATGTCAATTGTTACTTCGAAGCGCTGTAGCAAATCTGCCATAGAGTTCCTTTGATCTCCACAACTCAATTCGGTCCTCAGATTTCAGAGAACTTGGATAATAAACTACTTCTTCTTTTTCTTCTTCTTCTTCTTCTTCTTCTTTTTCTTTTTCTTCTTCTTCTTCTTCTTCTTCTTCTTCTTCTTCTTATTATTATTATTATTATTGTGCACTTATCCGATGGTTCTAAATCCTTGACCTATGGTGCGGTCTTCAAGCCTTTTTCAATTACAGATTTTGATATTGGAGCAAAGTGACAATAGGTCAGCGGAACTTCCAAATTTTGGAACTGAGTTTTGGAACTGACCTTTCTTCCAAGCTTCCTTGAGTAAATTTCAACGGTCATTTCGTTATCATTATTCCTTACAGTAAACTCTTTAGTCAGCAGGTAGCCTCTTACATGGATATACTATCATTGGATTGACCAATGATTTTCAACTTCAACTGGAAAAGCCATCTTAACTGTCAAACCCTCTTCGGCTTTTCCGACCACAACTTCATGGACGTTCCTTAAGCTCGTTGGCAAACACTTCGGTATTTTTAGGACATTAAAGATAAAAATTTTGTCGCCATTAAAAAGGCAAGTTCTAGAATTTATTTATTACCCTAATCGGCCAAAATCCTGTAAACACTATTGAACCATCTAATTACACGAGTTTTGGATAGTGTTGCGCCGCGGAGGGGACGAAAGTTCACTTAAAAAACGTTTCAACCATTTTCTCCCAGGCTTGATATTTATGACTGGAACTGTTCTCTTCTGGTCTGTTTTTCATCAAGAAACGTTTTAACTCCCAGTTGTTTCGGCGGGAGACTCCTTGTTGAACAATCTTCAATCCAGCCAATTAACTGTGATTTTTTGTACCCTTGCGTGGCCTTGAGCAATGCGTCTCTGGCCGAGGGGTTACATCCCTGGATATGACAGGTGCCCCGCGAAAAGGCAAAAAGGCATGCTCGGAGCCTGATGAGGGTAATTCTCCTATGCTTTGAGAGACAAGCGTTTCCTTCAAGATTCTATTCTAAGCGGTACAGCCAACCCCCTCTCCTTAGCTGCACGACTGCCACGATAGAACTGCGTGTCACAGAGACAACTTAAAACTGGTTGGAAGGTACTTTCGAACGACAGTGTCTCGCCGCAGTCAGTTTGTCAATTGCATTGAACTCGCAGCAACTCTACTTCATAAAGTGTTGTCTCTTATAAAGCCCGAAACACCGTACGCGTTCTTGTTGGATGGATTTTAATTTTATTACACATAGATAAAAATAATTGAAATATGTCGGTATATGCACCACAATTATTATTTTTAGCCTGTCGCTAAGAGCAGATTGGTTCCTAATATATTCCACCAGATCCAGTAGCGATGCGGCACTGCCTAATAGGTTGGTTCCTATTATATTTCGCCAGAAGCAACGCAGCAGAACTGGTATTAATACCTACAGTACCTGCAGCGAATAAGCACGCATCACAGATAAATTAAATCTCAAAACATTAACACTATTAATCTATGACATAAAGTCCTCACCTTCAATCGGTCCAAACAATTCAATGGTCCACGGAATATGACCTCAGCATAAACGAACATACGACCGTTGCTATGGTGTTCAGAAAAGGAGGCAGACAGCACTCAAAAAGGCATCAATTTCAACGAAAAAGAAATTGTAAGCATATTTCAGTATTTAGGTGTAACTTAACAAACACGCGGAACCAATTTCAGAGAACATATCAAAGAGAGAACCGCAGCAGCAATTATTGCGATAATGAAATTTCACACTTACGACAAATTTCACTCGAAATAGCAATAAAATTATTCAGATTGACAATAGCTTCGGTCTTTTACCTGACTGTTCGGGTGACGCCGCGTCCATGGCGAAGGTGCCGATGTTTCGGTCGCCATTCTGCGACCTTCCTCAGGGCGTAATGGCACCAGGGCATCACCAGGACAGCCAAGTAAATACTGACTCCGGCCGCGGAAGCCTACGCTCTCAATAACTTCGATCATTTTCGAATCGATCACGGATTACGTAAGTCGTTTGAGAACACATATACAAGAGAGACTTGAAAGAAATAGAGCCCTTTTATGTCGAAGAACTGTGATGTCAAATGTACTACCAAACACACCACACTTCGATCGAAGAATGAATGAACAAAGAGAGAAAAGGAAAGAAATATGTGAAGAATTTTATACAACTGATGCAATAACCACAGGAGAATGGGTGGGAAAAAGATACGACCTAAGACGCAAGGTTTGCGGCGCATGGTTCACATTAAACTACGTAAAACGAAACGTTTTCACGAAGAAAACAATGTGTGTGTGTGTGTGTGTGTGTGTGTGTGTGTGTGTGTGTGTGTGTGTGTGTGTGTGTGTGTGTGAATGGTGCGAGGAATTATGTGATAGGTATCATGCATTACAACGCAGAAAAAGGAACACATCCATCTCCAAGCTCAACACGGAATAGAAAGAACTAATGGGGTGAACATGATAGAGGCAACCAGGTAGTAATTGAACAGTGAAAGTGTAACATTTTCATATCCTGCATATTCTATTTATCAAAAAAGAAAAGAGAATAGAACTATGCACATTCTGCGCTTTCCCATATTACTAGTCTTGATAACATTCATATCTTTTGCCAAAGCCGAACACTATCACCGCGACTTCGTGTGAGTCAGATGAGCGGCAACGCTGAACCCTGGCCGTAAGAAAGTAAACAAATCCCCGCAAGGTGATCAATTCAGAGCAGGTCACATGACGTACCACAACAGGTGGCGAAATAACTGTCAAGTCGTTTATACGCTGCCGGTACTTCAATAGATTTTCTAGAGACCGAAGCAGTGCGCAAGATAAACATTTTTAATCTAGTGCCAATGAACTGTAAAAATAAAAGGAAAGAAAATTATAGTTCTTTATTAAAATTGAAACAAATTACTTTAAAATAATAAACGCCGGGTATTTTTCTAGTATCTTATGAAAATTAATTTCAATTTGAAATAAATATGTTTTTACAAGTTTTGAAAAAAAAAATCCGGACCATATTTCAAGTCAGGGCCTGGGACAAGTTGCCCCCCCCCCCACTCTGCCACTATTGTACCTACATTTTTGGAGAGGAACATAAAACATAAATTTAAGTAAATTAAATTATAAACATCGAAGGGAATATTTTTTGTGAAATTTCCAAAACTACGCAGTTAAAAGAGAAGAGACTTGCCTAAATGCATCGTGTTGTCGTGCCAGCGGTTCCTGTTGATAAATGCAATCTTCACTTTCCATATTGTTATTATTTCAGTATAACGTAGTCCGCACTTCAATAACGACTAACAAGTGGCGAAGATCGTAGTTTTTCGTCGGTAATAAACATGGCTTATGTGCAATAACGTTTATGAAAGCATTTGCCATGCAATAAAGGTTATGAAACTGTGCAGAGAAAATGAACCATTATTTGAGTATGTTTACACACATTTTTTTTATATTGAAGTTTCCAGGGTATACCCTCATAAATAATATGCTAAATAACATAAATATTATTACTAGTTAGGGTTTGTCAAATGTATGTTGCTTGAAATACTGATTTAATGTTGATGTTTTTTACATGCCCGGTTATTATTATAAATAGACACTTTGTCTTATGTGCCTTTGGTAATAAACGCTTAATTCAAACCGAAATAAAATAGATTGAATTTCTTTCTTAAGGATTAAAATTTCACTCCCATCTCTTAAAAAAAATTCACATTTTGTAGAAAAAATTATCAAGGTTATTTATTGTGTGTTATTTTCTTGAACATGAGATTGTGTATTACAGGAAATATAAGGAATTTGGCTATGGAGAAAGTGGCAGGCACAGTTATGTTTCCCTGCAAATATAGCACTACAGGATGTAATGTGTCTGTGCTTCATACAGAAAAAGGTGAACATGAAGACACTTGTGAATTTCGACCTTACTCATGCCCTTGCCCAGGTGCTTCTTGCAAGTGGCAAGGGTCTTTGGAATCTGTAATGCCTCATTTAATGATGTCTCACAAATCCATCACAACTCTTCAAGGTATGATACTTTCATGTAATGTTTGTTATGTGTAGGTCACTTTCATGTGCTTACGAGATAATGGCAGTTAGTAGTTTTCATGATTTCCCTATGTAAAACCCGTCCAGCGAAGGTTATTTTGTGTGGGAATGAGTGGGTGTTTACATGTATCCACACATGCAATTCCTTTTGATAACAACAAAGGTTGAAATTGATGTTACTCCTGGATATGTGACTAGTCTGAAACATGGTAGTGGCTGTGGTGGTGCTTGAGAGTAGGATTTGATGGATATCAATCAGTAACAATGTTAAGATGTATGCAAATTTCTCATGAGATTAGAACCTAGATTTCTAATAACTTACTGACTCATTTAACTGTAGAACAATGGAGGTGGTAATTTTGACATCAGGGATGTAATTTTTATGCTACAATTTTGTTATTTTCCGTAATTTCATAATTGATATTCAATTGATAGTCATAATTTTGACTGTAACTATTTTTATCCCTAGTTTCTAATGTTTTACTTTTTGTTTCTTATTATTTATATTTTGTGCTCTGATGACATTCTGGGATGGAGATACACTCATGATTGCATGACAGTTGTTTATCATGTTTTTAATAGTATTGTTGTGTCTTTGTAATCTAGGAAATGTTTCTTAGAATTGATGTTGGTGAATTTTAATTAATTTAATTATAGACAAACATTTTCTCCTTGTTAATGTCGTAGTAATGTTTCTGAGCAAATATATTGATATTGTTATATATCTTTAATTCAACTATAAATGTGAGAGATAAAATGAATTAAGACATCATTCAAACCCTAAGGCTGAAAAAAAGAAACTTCAAATGAGTGAAAATACTTAATTCGTAAGTTTTGCAGAGGAACTGCAGCAGAGCCATCTCATAGATAACCAAGAAGAAAGATCACAACAACTCATTGCCAGGAAGGGAAAACAATGTCATATCGGGATGTGCAACAGAAATCAGTATTGTCTGTGGGAAGTGTAAGCCTAATTTTTCAGTTGTTGAGAAATGTCATTTGCCCCAAGTATGCCTACGTATGAGCTCCTTAAAGTACATGTGGTGGTGTAACTCACATTTTCTTGTTCCAAGATGGAGTAATGTTTCACTAGAGTTATAGAAAATTCAGCAGTGCATTATTTTAATTTTTTCCGTATATGTGTTTATAAAGATTTCTTTCAACTCCTATTGACAAAACTGATTGATTGTGGCCAGTTTTATTCTCCTGAGACCCAACGTCCATTGTAATGAACTAACCAGTTTCTCGTGACAGTATTTCACATCTTGTTTTTATGGAACTAAGACTTGTTGTCCAGTCCCATCATGCCATCTAGCGCACATTCCGTTAACTACGACATGCAAGCAGCTGATGGTGTTAGAAGGCGATGAAAATCATGGCTGGTAAGTACTCAGTTTCTATTTCAAAGTAAGAATGAATTATGTGATTCAGTGAAATTTCTCAGTTGTATATGGGAGAATATAATTCGAATAATGAATACAATTATAATAATTGTTGTCAGTCAATTTACGTTATTGTTAACAAAAGTAATATGCCCAAACTATTGGACACTGGGTCTTATGGTCAATATTTTTGTAGCTAACATAATTCCAAAATTTTAGTACACGTATTATTTCTTTGTTAAATACTATGATGTTTTATGATAAATATTCTTGATCATTACTATATTATCTCATTTTAATGCATTGTAGGGCCCAGGAAGAAACTGACTGCTGATGAAAAACCAGATTCCATCGATAATGAAGAAATATCAGAAATAGAAATCTGATGAAGAAACTGATGACACTAATTTGAGTTCAAACTTTGTTACTAATGATATTGTGGATTTAGAGGAACAGGAGAGTGATAGTGAAGGTGATAATCAGGGCTTGGATTCTGATCCCCTATGAAATGATTTAAAAAAAAAAAAGGAAAATTACCTATAAAATGACTTAAAATAAGGGGGAAATAACCTTAAAAAAACAATACTCAAAAATCTGTAAGAAAAGTACTTATTCAATGAATTTTACAATTTTAAATGATTATAAAGACTTTTTCTTTAGGAGCAAATATAATCCTTAGCTCCAATCTTCCAACCATTGATTTTCAAATTTGAGGAAGTAACTGAAGATCTGTGTTATTTTTTAGAGGTTGAAAAACAGACCACTGCAGTAGTGAATTTCGTCATGAACTAATGATACAAAAACAACTTAGTTTTAGTGTGTCACTGTAAATTCATGAAACGTTCACTAACAAAACACACGAAAACGGAATAAAATGCTTATAAATTACAAAAATTACACAAATGTCCAATAAAAATTACCTAAGATTGAAAAATGGCAAAAAATTATTTTTTTGATGACTCGATAACCACATTTCTATCCCCTATATACCATGATAAACATTCATTTACAAGTTAGTTGCGTCTAGAATGCACCAATGAAAAGATGATATGTGATCAGAATCCGAGCCCTGGTGATAATGATGATACAATGCAAGATGGAATTAGTTGTACATCTCAATCTAGAAGACAGCTTTGGAGAAGAAGTGACAGGCATGTTGAATGAATTTTTTCATTATGTGATAGTAAAAGACTTGTACATACATTTTTGAAGTATTAAAATATAATTGGTTTCTGAAATGTTAATTTGATTCATGATTTTGTACTTTCAGATTTGATGGTCTTACAATATCACTAAGTGTTGAAGGATCATTTCATGAGAAAGAAATGAGGAAAGTGAAAGACTACACTAATCAGTAGGGCCCGGATATTTATGTCATGTCATATTTTTTTCCTTTATGTTATTTCCATCAAAAATTTAAAACGAGTATGATTTTGTCTACAATGACTAAAATTATTCAATTTTCAAGTGTCATATAAAGCCATATTTGGCTTTTTCAATATTTTAGTCATTTTTCATTAAATTTTCATGTTATGGTCATATTTTTCTACGAATTTTTGTATTTTTTGTCTTTTTGATTCCATTTTTGCATACTTGTTTCAAAGAGAATGCATACTTGTTTCATTTTTGAATACTTGTTTCAGTTGTTTCAAAGAGATTTTTCGTATCTCCTAATTGTTATCTGATTTCTTACAATTTTTTTATTGTATAAAATTGTATAGTGTCCTTCCTATAAATATATATGTATGTGAATTGGGAGGGTATGCTATATAGATGAAGAAAAAGCGTAGAAAGCACCAGATGCGAAGGAAGTGTTGGTTTAGTTTTGTCAGGTTTTGTGTCAAGATCATCCTTTTTTATAAAATTTATTTAATAACTTAAGCAAGTAGAATTGTGCACGAAAGGAGAAGGTGTAAATTGTGAACATGCTAGATTTTAAAAGTATATTTTCGATATAATGGTTATTTAAACAGCGAAACGATTTTGAAGGTTTCGAAAATGCGCCCAAAAAATGTTCAAGTCATATTTATGGTCATATTTTTTAGGTCATAAATGCTTGCATATTCCTAATATTTTTAGGTCATAAACATCCGGACCCTACTAATCAGTATTTTGATAATGATATCAGTCAGATGACTGCATTTACTAACGTGAAATATATGCAAGAAAAGAGTAAGACTTTCAATTTAACAGTGAAAGTGATGCATATATTTATCGGCGCAACTTTATTCTTGTCATGTCTGCAATATCCTTCGGTGAGAATGTACTGGGCAAGCGCCACAAGAGTACCAGCAATTGTAGTCAAAATATCAAGAGACTGATATTTTAAAATAAGGAGTCAATTAAAAGTTGTTGATGACAAATTCAGTTACAGAAGAAAAAAAGACAAATTGGGGAAAGTTAGACCCATAAAGAACAGTGTTAGAAAAGGATGTCTTCAGTTACCAGAGCTGGTACTGAAGCAACTGATGAACAAATTATCCCTTTTACTGGTGTTTGTGGGATTAAATTGTTTGTGAAGGGAAAACCAAATCAAGAAGGACTTAAGAACTTCATACTTGCCCTTCCTTCAGGACTGACACTTGATTTTGAAGTATACCAAGGCAAGAGAACATTTCTAGAAGAAAATGCAAAGGGTAAAGGATTGGGTGTTGAAGGTTCAACTGTTCTTTGACTTTGTGAAACTTGAGTTCAGGGACTAGTGTATTCTTTGATAGATATTTCACATCTTTGCCTCTTTGAGAGGCATTAGCATGGCAAAATCTGTCAAATACTGAAACTATTATAAAGTCTAGAATTCCATCAGCTATATACTTGACGGATGATAAGATTTTGTGTAAACAAGAACAGACAGGACAACTTAATCAGTGTTATGAAATGGTTTGATCAAAAACCTATGTTTTTAGCATCCACTAAATTAGGAGTACATCCACAAGATATAAGTTGAAAATGGGCAAAGAAGACAAAAAGTATTTTACTATTCCTGGATCTGTTATTGTAAGTCAATATAATTTGAACGTGGGAGGAATTGATCTCAGTGACAGAATAAGCTATGACCGAATAAACAACAAAACAAGAAATGGACTGTAAAACGTTTTCATTTCATAGGTTTGGACTACTAATTGCTGGATACAATACACAATGGAAAAAAAACAAACTTGGTGAGTCCAGGAAAAAATGTTTTGCAGGTTTTGGATTTTAAAATTGCAGTGGCAAAATATTTTTTGTCTTCAAGTAATGAAACTAGCAATGATTTTGAGAGTGAATAACTGCATATAGTGAAGTAACTGAGAAGCAGCAATGAAAATTGTATTGGTTCACCATGGCAGTAGAAAAAGCAGTACCTGCCCAAGATGATGGATGTCGAAAACGGTATTTGATGCAAAAATGAGGCATGTTCTAAAAAGACCAGAGTAATGTGCCAAGCTTGTGAAATATACTTTTGCCTTACTGTTGAAAATGATTATTTTTTCAATTTCATGAAAAATGATTTTTTTCTCTTATGTATTTTTTTGTTCTGTATTGAGTTATGTATTGTACTTATTCCAGCAACATTTCTATAAAATATATCAATAAAAATAAATATGAATCTCATTTAATTCGTTTTTGTCCCTGAATTTTAGGTCAACCGGTAATTCTAAGTTCAGTGTAATTATATAGTCAGAAACACCAAATGTCCATTTAGATGCCCATCCTGTATTTTCCCCAAATTAAAAAGAAAAGTTGAAAACAGGATCCTATCATTTTCTATCTCGTAGGAGAGGTTTAATTCATTTTTTTTTAATTGCACCGCGAGTAATTTCCTGTGTCTCAGGAGGGTATACTTTAATTTGTTGTGTCTATATTGATGCAACACATCTCCAAGACCCTAGAACTGCATTTTGCACTTTGTGTTTTCGAGTAATCCTTCATTAACATTCATTATGTGTCAAGTCAGTGGTCAAGAGGACCGCAATGTAGCATCTCTGTGTATGCGCCTCTTACACCATGCGCTCCTGCATCTCTAACCAGCGGCCAGAATTGGGAAGGAATTAAGTTATACTTAGATTTTTTTATCGTGACATTTCATGGTCATGCACGAAAAGTGGAAGCTGATGCGAGTTGCAGCTCCCTATTGGAGTATGCCTTCCCTTCCTGCCTTGTGTGGCACCTTGAGATGCCACATCAAAAAATTGAAGTACAGGAATAGGGTTTAGAATGCTTCATAGGGATTGGAGTAGCCGCTTGTGAAGCAGGCACACTGATAAAGGATATGAGAAAATATGAAATGCTGTTAATAACACTGTATTCAATAATTGTTTTTGCTTATCAACTTAAACATTGACATTTCCATTCAGTGGCCGGATGTCTTCAACATCGGCCTGATAAATATTCTCATAAGGACCTTAATGAAGTAACACCTCTTGGGATGTGAAAAAGTAAAAAAAATGTGGTTGTTAAGAAAATATGAAATGCAACAATTATTAACAATACTGTATTTACAATTTTTTTTGAACAAAAGTACTAAATTAAATGGACAAAGCAGCTGAAAGTGGAGAATACAAGAAGACAACATGTTAAATTCATGTTTAAAAGATAAGTTGTTGGAACAACATAACATATCCAATCTCAAGCTGAACACAAGATCCTGGACAATTTCATAACAGTACATAATTTTTGTTACTCATCTCATCAGTCATATAAGTCAATGTAATTTTCATTCAGTGGCACATTGTCTGTAACATCAGCATTTAATGTAGTGGTGATGAATAGGTGGGATAAAGGGCAAAAGATGTTGCATATCTTCTTTTCCTCTTTCGTAATGGGACTTGCTCTTCTACAACTTCCTCTGAGGCATGTTTGCAAAAGAAACTTGAATTTTCTTTTTTATATCCTGACTTGAAGTCAACATGCGAAATGGTATGTGCTCAGAAAGTTTCTTTAAAAAGAATTTTGAATGGTTCACTCGTTCCCCAATTGAATATTCAAAGCGAACTGCGAAAACAAAACTGAGCATCTCCTTACTGCACTACTTTGGCTGTCAACAGACGGATTGCTCTACTGTCGCGGTTGCTAAGTAACTTACAGCTACACCCTTTGTGCTGTTGAATATCACACATGATTATCAACTAAATTAAAACAAGAAAAATAGTTACACTGCTTGGGCTTTAAGGGGCTCGTAATAATTTACTAAGCTTGGTACTCGACATTTGAAAATTATTAATTGCCAACCGAGTACCTATCGCAGCATTGTCTTTCAGACATGTTTGAAGCGATTGCCCATGCTCTCCACTCAATTCAGATATAGGCCTCCCAATTTTTTGGTTTTGCCTGTCGAAGCCCGCGCATATTTTAATCATGTCGCTCTTGCATTAGCGATCTGTCAAATAATAAAACATGCCTTTAAAAAAGCGTTTTCAGCGCTCATGGATTAATAGTGAGAACAAGGAAAAATGTGTACTTTTTCTTAGAGTTTGGGTTGAGAAGTGTTTG